CAGAACGTGCGAACTTAGCCGCTGTGCCACCGGGCCGGCCCCTATGTTGTTGATTCTAACCAATGAGAAGAAAACTAAATGTCATTTTATGTAAGGCACAATGACAGAGTCAAGGAGGAAGCTGTGCCAGATACATATGCATTATATTTGAAAAAGCATAATGCTAAATTCCAAAAGCACATTGATATAAAATAAAGTACAACGGGCCCAAACGCACACATCTAGTCATAAATTCCAAATGTTTGTATAAATAAAATAAAATAAATTATGGGGCTAATAATTATGACATAAATAGTTCCGGCTTGGAAAAATTAAATTAAAAACCACTTAAAAACTATAAAATATGCATGAAAACAATGCTTTGATTATGCAGCAATTGCCAATGTATTCCAATCCTTCTTCTATATTACTCTCAAAAGAGATAATCAGAATCTCCTCAGTTTTATAAAAAATACATTAAGAGGTATCTTTGGATACCAGACTATCCATTTGAATCTTACTTAGTCCAAGATGTGATCAAAGCTGAGTTCCTCAGTTCTTCATTGCTTAGCTATGTGCTAATGACGAGAAATGAAATGTCTCTCTATTGAAGCTCTTCATTTATCCTATACAAATGGGGAATGAAATATTAAGGCTAATAAACTTTTCTGATAACCATGGCTAGTATTTAAACATTAATAGTTTTTTATTGACTTAATATTAATGGAAATCCTCCTATAGTATTTTAGGAACCGCAGATGTGACAGATTCCCTCTCAGAAGGTTATTATTTCTACATTTTGGTTTTCAAGTGTTAAGGTTATCTATAGGGTCCATATTCTTGCTGTATTAAAGGTCAATTATTTTCTTAATACGCGAAATGAAAACTCAGCAAAATGCTTTGATAATATAATAGTTAACACATGCATAATGTTTATGAATTCAAGAACAGTGTTCTGAATGTCTTACATTTAATTCTCAAACTAATCTTATAGTTAGGTACTATTATCTTCCCAATTTTACAGATCAGAAAAGAGGCACAGAGAGGTTAAGTAATTTACCCAAGATCACACAGCTAGTAAATAGCAGACCTGGAATTCAGACACCAGGTGTCTGGTTCTGGAGCTCATGCTGTTACATACTGCATATTGCCTTTCTATGTGTGAGATAAATGTCCTCCATGAACTATGTAGAAAGCCATGAACTATCAGGAATTTATCCTCTGATATAAATTTTCTCTTTGTTAATTTGCCATCTTGAGGGAGAATAGCCTATGAATAATCTTTAATTTTCCTATATTTTATAAGTGAAATAAGCATATGTCATTTAACTTTTCTTTTGTAAATTATTTGCTTATTTTGTCCCATTTTAAAGGCTTCTCTAACATCTGTAACAGAATTTCCCATGTCCTTTAAAGTTTGTTTTTCTTAGCCTCTTAAAATATTTTTGAGAATAATATGTGCTTCCCATGGAAAAGAAAACGTAAAAAATTAAAATATGAATTGCTTGTGATCACTGCTAACCTTTAATGTACTTATTAGTAAACTTCTGCTATCTAACGAACAGCCACAAAACTAGCATCTTAACACAGCGACCGTTTGTCCTCATGGATCTACAGGTTGGCTGAGGTGGCTCTGCTTCATGCTGCAGGTTGGCTAGGACCCGAGAGCTGACTGGAACTTTTTCTAATGGTGACGGCAGTTTTAAAAAGTGAAGTGGGTCTCATATGTGCTGTCTCAGAAAGATTCTGTGTTCACTTCATTAAGTTGCAAGAGCCAGTCAGAACAATACACACACTGTTGCTCATGTATGTTAAAAACTCAATAGATTTTTATAGCACATCTACGTATGAAAAGCCTCAAATCAGCTTTAAAGTGACACATCAGCTTGGTAACTGTGGTTGCTTTTGAAAAGGGAGGATGAATTTTGGAGGAATGTGATAAGGGGAGAGATTGCGATTTATGTGGTAGACTTTTTTATAACAAGAATATATACACTAGTGTTAGCTTTGTCATTAAAATATTTGAATGAACCTAACAATAGAAATTGTAGTGGTATATTACATAAAGTAACTACTAACTGATGCAACAACGAAAACCTGAAATCTAAATGGCTTAAGACAATAAAAATTTATTTCTTGTGACCATAAAATGTGATGTGGGTTGACACAGGCTCACTGCTTTCAGGTACCCAGAGGTCCAGGATGTTTGCATCATGTGGTTCCACATCTCAATATGGGCTTTCTGCGTTGGCTGCTGAATGGAAGAGAAAGCATAGAGGTGGCATACTGACTCTCATGTGCCTTGGCCTGGAGGTGCAAATATGCTTCTACTACTATCTCAGTGACACAGGTTAGTTACACGACCTTTCCTAACTTCATCTGAACTGGGAATGTAAGACAACATGTGGATGCGCGCTTGCAGTCTCTCCCATACACTGTTATACAGTAGGCGCTCAATGAAGAGCAACTGTTGCAATTGATTACAACAACCCTCTTCGTTTCTTGGAGAAACTTCTGAGAAGGCCAAATTTACGTTGGAATTCAACAATTTTTTTCCAGTGCAAACTATGTAATAGATGTTTTCAAATATAGGATCACATCAATTTTCAAAAGGACACTGTAAATCACAGCAGTGAGGGCTCGCCTTTTCTTACTCAATAGCACCTGTCTGCATTGCCATTTGCAGTAACCTGTATCATCTCAGCCGGCTGAGAATTTTCTCCTACCTTTTGGGACATGGTCAAAATCATAGCTACCCACCACCTGACTGACCATGTCTGAACACCTGAACAGGTGCCATTAAGCACGCTGAAAAAAACAGCATTCTCCCTGGGACAAATATGGAAAAGAGTCAGTGGAAAGATGGTGAATATTTTTCCTCTTTATTCAAAGCTAGCATGTCCCCTAAGGAACCATTTTCCACCTCCAAAAAGGACTCTTTAAGATGGGTTTTTAGGAATTCAGCCACAGCACTTGTTTGTTCAGTGATTGCCTCAGTCCTTCCTCGTCTGCCACGTAGGAGGGAGGTTTTGGTCTTTACCACTTAGTTAAGCTCACATCAGTGTATGGATTCGGTGGCCAGTCTCAAATACGACACTTCATTAAAATGCTACTGCAAACATCAGACATGTTTCAAAAATGCCCTCTCTAGCCTCAGGGTTATAAACCCAGGCCCTGTAGATTCCATGCTAAATCGGCCAACCTACCAGTTGATTAGGCAAAACAAACTTTGAGTGTGGTGGAAGAGCCCAGGTGGGTGAGGAGGTGTCTGAACTTCACTGCTGGAAGCGAACAATTATGCGGAAGGGGCTGTTGCTATCAGAGGGGTCCACAGTTAGGGAGGGGACCTGCAGGGAGTTGCAATGCTCTAAGTCGGGGGAGAGCAGGGCATATGGGCTCTCTGTTCCACCAGGAGCAGAGTGCAGCCTCCAGAGGAGGATGCAGAGAGGAGCTGGCCAGCAGGTCAGGTTCCAGTTTGGACAGGAGGGCACACTGGGGAAGACCCAGGGGAGGGGAGCTGTAACGCAGGAAAGTGCTGGGACTGGACACATGGGCTGGGACCAGGCCAGAGTCAGCTCTCAAGGAACCCTGGGGCGAGGGGCAGGAGGATCCTAGGTAAATAAAACCCACAGACACTCCCCAAATTGTATTTGATTCTCCTTTTCACCTTCCTTCTTTAGGCCTGCTTTTTGTACTCTGGCCACAGGGTCCTTCTTACCGCCTGAGAGTATCGTGGAATAGTGAGAAGGGAAATGAATTAATAGACACAAAGTCAGCCTCTGGCTGGGAGGAGTGGAACAGTGTGGGCTCTAGAGGAATTCAGACCAGGGCTCTCCTCCCAGTTCTGTCACTTTACCAGCCATGTGAACTTAAGAATATCACAAGTTCTTTATCTGCTGTGTGGGTTTGACAAGCCCTGTCTTCTAGGACTGTTGGAATGTATGTAATGTATGTAAAGCACCTGGCACAGTGACTGGTACATACTGGGTCTTTCATGACTGGTAGTTATTACTATGCTTATTTTCACACCCGAAGAAACTACCCTTATCTCTGGGATTTTTTGTTTTATCCAGGAGACGTCAGAGACTATGCAGTGATCTAGGACAAAGAAAACTATATTAGCCAAACTACTGCTTAGCAAATAACACTAAGTAAATTTTCCCCATTAGAGAATATGTTATTTAATTTGGAGGTAGGGATTTCACCAGAATTCAACTCAAAGCTTGTAGAATTTGTGTCAAGGACCAATAATTTCCCTCCCTCCTAATTACCCTCCCAACAAAAACACCTCTATTTTCATTTTTTTCACCACCACCAAAATCTAGCCCCACTTTGGAGTTTTGCCAAATTACACTCAACGTAACCTAAATAACAGAGCAGGCTCTGGCTCCCTCAGCCCAGGGCAAAGAGTACCCACAGAGGGGTTTCTTGGCATCCCACCTCAAGGGAGTATCACCTTTATTTCTCAGAAACTTTCTGGAGACAATATACATAAACACCTAGTTTGTGCACTGTGTTCATCTGCACTGAGACAAGAGCACAGGACACCGTCCATTCAACCCCCAGGGGGAGATTCTCTCTGGTTTACCCACAATCTCAAAGTAAGTGTTTCTCATTGCAGGCTTAGTCTCCTAACTCTGATGCCCACCATCTGAGGGTCTGGCCCCTGCCCATGATGATCACAGCCTCATCCAGCCCACCATGCAGCTAACTTAGAATTACCTCCCACTGAGGGATTTGCACAGTCCCAACCCCAAAGTGTCCTGGCTCAGAGAATGTATATTTCCCTGCGCTCATCTGGACCACCCACTACCATCCTCACTGCTTTTTCTTTTTCACTTGTCTTACATGTTAGAGCTCATCACACCATCTTCCTTATATAATAACCGATCTTAGACTCTAAAAATCTCCAGGCAGGTGCAGGGTCTTCTTTATCCTAGCATCATCACTACTAGCAGAGAACCTTCCAAAGAGCAGATGTTCAATTCATGATGGGGAAAAATGAAGCAATGAGCAACGAATGTAATTTACTGCTATTTAATTTTATCTGCATTCTTGAATAACAACACCCGGGCTTATATTTTTGAATTTTACACGGAGAAAGACAAAAGTGAATAAGGTCAACCAAGATTTGACTACATTTTACTTTGTTTTCGTCTATTTTAAAACCACAGCTATGTTTTTGCGGGTTCTTTCACATTTCCAAGAAAATTCTCATTTCAAAGCCATATTATCTTGTTCTGAAACCCAAAAAAGATGCAAGGATTTTCAAGTTGTATTACACAATAGCAAAACTCTTATGCTTAAATTTGATGAACAGCAATAAACGTGATTCATGTCATTTATAAAGTTGGATTCTGAATCTAAATAAGCATTCTACTAAACGGAACATTTGAAAGATACCAATGTATAACAGGAACACAAAGAAGATACATATTGTGATTTTTCCAGCCCCACCTTAACTTCTCACTACTTAAAATATTGTGAGCCCTTGTCAAACACAAGTGAAGAATCTGCCTCAGGCCTCACTGGGGTGGGAGCAACTGCTGGCCATAGCCCTGGGACTGGCCCTGGGACTGGCCCTGGGACGTGCCCTGGGACGTGCCCTGCGACGTGCCCTGGGACGTGCACTGCCCGTGGCAGGAGTGGCAGGCCCGGCTGCAGCTCTGGCTGGAGCTCTCTCTTCCTCCTCTCTCAAAGCCTCTTCATAATGGAATGGGAAGGCACTGGGGGTGGTTCCATTGATTTTGGCCAAAAACTCGAGAACTTTCATCTTGCTGGTTTCAGCATGGGCTCTTGGACCCCACAGAAATTCAAAGCGTGGAGGATCACTGTCGGGTATCTGACGATACTCCAGGTACTTCTGCTGCACCAAATCTTTGGTGATGAGCTTCCTGGGCTCTCCAAAGATTAAATGCTCCCTCCCATCATAGATGCCCAAAATATTCAGGAATCCCCAGATCTCCTCTTCGGAGGCGCAGTTGCCATTCAAGAAGATCACACCCAGGAGAGGCATCAGAAGCCCACTCTTAGGATATTCCCAGTCGTCACTCATACTTCCATCATCACAGACGTCTAGCTTGCTGACAAGGGTATAGGATTGGCCATTGGGCTTGACTTCCTTCAAGTCAAGGCCAAAGACCAGCTCTATGCGCTCAGAGGCTCTCCTGAGAATCTCAGGGAAGTCCTCCTTGTACCTTTTGTGGACAAGCTTCAGCATGTCTACCTTCCTAATGGGCTCTTTCATCTTATACTTCTCCAGCAGGAATTCCATCAACATGCTTGCCTTCCTGGTTAGAAGATCGTTGCGAGCGCTCTCAGTGGAGGTTGAGGCCTGGGAGAAATTTTCACTTTTCTTAACTCGACTCTTGGCACCTACACGAGATCTTGGGCGTGAGACACCTGCAGCAGGAGAGCTAGGGGCTGGGACTCCCTGAGAAGTGCCAGCAGCAGCGGAGCTCGAGGGAGTACCCCCAGGAACAGGAGAGGAGGGGGACTCTTCAACCTCTGCTGCAGTGGCCTGAGCACTCCCAGGACCCTGGGTCTTACTCCGAGCCTGACGGCGTTTCTCACGGGCACGGCGCTTACTCTTCTGACCTCGAGGCATGATTGTTGTCAGAGACAGGAGGCAGGATAGTAGGTGACGCAGGAACCTGGAGGAGAGAAGATGAGAGGGTGGGAGCACCTTCATCAGGGAGATTCCACTTTGGCTTTTAAGAAGCCACCTCTGGGGGCTGGCCCCGTGGCCGAGTGGTTAAGTTCGCGCGCTCCGCTGCAGGCGGCCCAGGGTTTCGTTGGTTCAAATCCTGGGCGCGGACATGGCACTGCTCATCAAACCACGCTGAGGCAGCGTCCCACATGCCACAACTAGAAGGACCCACAACGATGAATATACAACTATGTACTGGGGGGCTTTGGGGAGAAAAAGAAGAAAAAAAAAAGAAGCCACCTCTGCAGGTTTCTTTGAGATCACTGCTCTAGGATCCCACCGGGCTCTTAATCTTGGTCAGTCTGTCCCCTGAGAATCAAGTGGAGGAAGTTAGAGTGAGCGAGCCTCAGGCAACCGCCTGCCAGCCTTGCCTGTGGCTGACTGGCCTGACAACAGGGGCTGGTAGTGTGAAAACCCTCTCCATCTGGGTTCGAGGGTCCCCTCAGTTCACATACAGGATTATCACATCAACACTTGGTAGGGCCTGGGATCTCTTTCCTATGCTGCTCTGAAGTTGACACCTCAAAGCTCCCTGGAACCCACGAGAAGGAACCGGGGAGGTGCTTCAGTGTACCACCCCTGCTGGAGTGGACAGTCCTGACAGTTCTGTGGGGCCCTCTCTGTCCTAGTCTCGTTGGTCCTCAATCCTCATTCGGAGTCCTCATCTTGTCTACATAGAGTCTGGGACCCTCCCTTCTGCTGACTGGTGACGCACCTTTATATGAAAGACCTCCTTTAGACCTGATACAAAGAAATGAGAAGGAGTATCAGCCTGACAACCCTGCTCTGGGCCTTTGAGGACTGAGTGCAGGGACTGGGCAAAATTCTTTGTTGCTTCTTTGATTTGGCAGACGTGGGGGGTGGTATCTTCAGTCATCATTCACAGTCCCCACTTTGACTTCTAGGAGGATTTGGGGGCTCCCCTCTCTCTTTACCTGAGGACTTTTCCTCACAGTAAGGCCCACAACTCCCTGAGACCCAATAGTGGAACTGAGTGAGGATGGCTTATCTGGCCACATTGCCTGTAGTCTCCAGAGGCTGAAAGCTATAGCAGGTAGGTTGAGGCCCTATGATGTGTGGTCCTCAGTTTTTACACAGGGGAGGGCCTAAGAGTCCTCCCTCTGCTGACCCATCAGACTAAGACTCTCACTTCCCTGTAACCTCTGAGGGGGAACTGATGGGCGCTGCTGCCTGACATCTCTGCCTGGGGACTCCCAGGACTGACAATGGAGAGGGACCCTGTGGGGTCCCTGCTTGTATGGGGTGGAGTTCCCTGCAGTCCTTAGAGTCCTCTCTCTGAGTCCTGGCAAAACATGGAAATCCTCCATCTGCTGACCTGAGCTCCCTCGCATCACATGAAGATTCTTACCTTCCTGAAAACCCCAAGATGAATGAAGGGTGATGCTACTTCTGGTCATCCCTGTCCATGGCCTCCCTGGATTGGTAGCAGGGGCTGGACTCTATGAGACCCCACTGTTCTGGCATCACTGGCCTCTTTAGTTCTCACACAGACAGGATCTGGGCTCCTCCCTCAGCCCACCTGAGTCTTCCAGCTTTAGATCAAGGCCCACTTCTCCCTAATTCCTCGGGGATGGAAGTGAGGGGTAACACATCTGGCTACCTGGACCTGGGGTTTCCCAGGCCTGATAGGGGTGGGACTTTGTAGGGCCCCACTGTTTTGGGTGGGTGCTCACCTCCGTGTCCTCGCTCTGACTCCTGGAAGGACCTGGAAATCCTGTGTCTTGACTTGAGGCTTATCCCCTCATACTAAGGTTCCCAACTCCCTGAGACCCACTAGGAAGAAGTAACATTTTCCTCATCTAGCCACAACTGTGTGTGGACTTCCAAGGCTTACATTCAAGAAAGGATTCTGTGTTGCTCTCATTGTTGTGGGGTAGATGGTCCCCTCAATTCTAAGGGTCCTCTCCTTGGCTCCAGGCACTACATGGAAATCCTCTATCTGCTGACCTGAGACTACCCCCATCAACGAGGTTCCTCACCTCCCTGAGATGCTCTGGGAAGAAGTGAGTAAGACTGAGTTAAGACTCATCATGGCTCCATGCCTGGGTCTCCCAAGTCTGATAGTAGGGACAGGGCTCTATTCGGCTCACATTTTTCTGGGAGAAGTCCCCTCATCCTCACTCAGTGTCACCACCTTGACTCTTGTTAAGAACCGGGTCTCCTCCCTATGTTGGATGGGGCCTCGCTCATTAGACCCAAACTATTGTGTCCCTCACACCACCCTTGGAGGAAATGAGAGGGCACTTCAGCCTGAGAGCTCTAAACCAGGCTTGCCAGGGCTGACTGCAGGGGCAGAACTTTACGTGTCCTCCTCTGTTCTGGGGTAGTTGGTTGTCTCATTTCTCATACAGGATTTGTACCTTGACATCTGTCATGGCCTGGGACTCCTCTTTCTCTGCTGAATTGGGCAACCAGCCCTTAAACCAAGGCTCTCATCTTCCTAAGACCCTGGAGGCAGAAGTCAGGGGGCACCTGAGCCTGCCAGCTCTGCCCTGGGACCCCCAGGCTATCAGCAGGGGCGGCATCAGGTGCGGCTCTCTCCTTTATGTATTGAGTGGTCCCCATTTCCTCACTCAAGATCTTCACCTTGACTCTGCACCCTTCCTAGGACTCTACCCTCTGCAGACCCAAGGCCACGACCCTCAGACAAAGGTCTTCACATTCCTGGGCCCTGAGTCGACAGAGTGAGCCACATCCTGCCAAGGCTGATTGGGGCCTATGCCTGATGACTGCAGGGGTGGGACTCTCTGACCCCACTGTTCTGAAGTCAGTGGCTCCCTCAATCCGCATTCAGGAGTTTGACCTTGACTCTGGGTAGGATTTGGGATTCCTCCCTCTACTGACTTGAGTCTATAGACTTCAAATCAAAGCCCTCACCTTCCCGAGTAACCAGAAAAGAAGTCACGGTGCTCCACATCTTGCTACCTTGTCTGGGGACCCCCAGATCTGCGAGCAGAGGTACTATTCTGTGCAGCTCCCCCCTCCCTTTTTTTTGTGAGGAAGATTGGCCCTGAGCTAATATCTATTACCAATTTTCCTCTTTTTGCTTGAGGAAGATTGTCGCTGAGCTAACATCTGCGCCAATCTTTCTCCGTTTTGTATGTCGGTTGCCGCCACAGCATAGCTTGACGAGACGTGTAGGTCCACGCTGGGATCCAAACCGCAAACCCCGGGACACGAAGGGGAGCGCCCCAGCTTAACCACTCGCCACGGGCCTGCCCCATGCAGCTCTCTATTTTGAGGCGAGAGATCTGTTTATTAGCACTGATGGTCCTACCTCTACTCCATTTAGGGCCCAAACTCCTCCCTCTGCCTAATGGGGATTCCCCCTTTAGATAAAGGCCTTTCTCTACCTGAGACCCCCCCACTCCAGGCAAAAATGAATTACTGCAGGGCATTCGAGGACTGATAGTGGGAGTGGGGCTCTGAAAAGTCACCTCTGTTGGAAGGATGTACCCTCATTAGCTCTGAGGATCCCACCTTTTCACCTGTTAGGACCGAGACTACTCCCTTTGTCTAAAGAGGCTCTCCTCTTTAGACAAAAGCCCACCCCTTCCTGGGGCCCTCCAGGCGGCCACGTGGATGGGACTCCTCGCTCTTATAGCTCTGGCCAGGGGCTCACACTGCCGATCACAGGGACGGTACTTTGTGGGGCCACCTTTGTTATGGGAAGGGGAGTGGTCCCTTCAGTCCACATTCAGGTCCTTACCTCAGTCCCGGGATCCACGTTCGGACCAACAAACCGCGCGCCCACGAGAGCAGATCCTCGCCGCTGCCGCGACCGCCTCCGAAATGGAAGTCGAAATCAAAATGGAAGTCGACGTCGGGTGCGTCACTTCCTGCCACGGCTGCCCAGGGGGGCTCTCCGAGGGCCGACAGCAGGGGCGGAGCTCTGTGGGACCTTGCCGGTTAGGAGTCGGTGGTCCCTAGGTCCTCACTCGGGGTCCTCATCTTGGGATCAATCACAACCCAGGACTCCTCCCACTACCGAGTCCGCCAGCTGCCAAACAAAGCCGTCACCTTTTTTAGTCCCTAGAGGGAAGTCAGGGCGCACTGCCTTTGCCGTCTGCCTGGGGCCTCACGGGCCTGACCAGAGGAGAGGGACTCTGAGAGCCTCCCTCTATTGGGGAGAGGTCCTCTCATTAGCACTGAGGTCCTCACCTTGACTCCGGTTATGGCCAAGACGTCTCCCTCTGCAGTATCGGGGCCCTATCCTATTAGACAACGCCTTTCTTTCCCTGAGGTGGAATGAGGGGACTTTCACACAGGTGGAATGAGGGGACTCCTCAGTGGTAGCTCTTCTGGGAGTCTCAGGACTAAGAACAGCATGGGACTCAATTTGGCCCCCTCTGCTTTTGGGGGTCCCCTCATAACAATCAGGGTCTTCACATGGATTCTTGCCAGGCTCCAGGTACCTCCGTCTGCAAAACTGAGGCTGTTCCCGGGGCTGGCCCCGTGGCCGAGTGGTTAAGTTCGCGCGCTCCGCTGCAGGCGGCCCAGTGTTTCATTAGTTCGAATCCTGGGCGCGGACATGGCACTGCTCATCAGACCATGCTGAGGCGGCGTCCCACATGCCACAACTAGAAGGATCCACAACGAAGAATATACAACTATGTACTGGGGGGCTTTGGGGAGAAAAAGGAAAAAATAAAATCTTTAAAAAGAAAAAAAAAAAAACTGAGGCTGTTCCCATTAGCCAGAGGTCCTCAGCTCCCTAAGACTTTCCAGGCTGAAATCAGCCTGACGTCTCTCCCCAGGGCTTCCTAGGGATGACAGCAAAGGAGGTTTTGTGGGGCCTCCTTTTATGCTATGAGTGCTACCTTTAGCTCATATTTGGGTCTTTACTTTGACAGATGACCAATCCTGTAACTCCTCTCTCTGCTTTCCTGAAGCTGCTTGTCTTACCTCATGGTCCTTCTTTCCTGAGAATTCTAAGTTGGAAATCAGGGTGATCCTCATATGATCATGGTCTTTCCGGGCCTCCAAGTACAGACAGCAGGGATGCAGCTCTACAGGACCTCACTATTTTGGTTGGATCCTTCCATCATTCCTTAGTCATGGTCCTCACCATGTCTAACAGAGCCTGCGATGACTCCTTCTCCTGAACTGAGGTCACCCTCCTTGGGTCTTTGTATGACCACTATATTTTCAGATGATTGTCTCCTCAATCCTTATTCATGGGGGTCCTCATCTCAGCTCTTGTCTCTTCAATAAAGGCTTGCTAGGAAATGACACATCCCTGCAAACACTTGACCAGTTTCCCTCTTGCAAATCTTGCAGAAAATGGGTCCCTGTCCCAAGAATGATGTAAGATTAGGAAACTGCAGCAAAGACCAGGGAACCCAGGACAGGTGTTGTGCCATCAGGGGAAAAAAAGATGATGTAGTCCTTCTCTCCACCAGGCAGACTTAGGGTAGTTCTAAAAGACTTACTTTCTACATAGAAGGATAGAGCCAGATGGTTCTGTGAGCCCCTGATCTTCTGAGGGTATCTCATTTTCCATACGTAGATGATCATGTTGTCACTAAGCATTCTCTCTTTCTCTCCTTTATTCACATCTTGTATTTATTTCTGGTATATTGCTCTGGTTGTGTATTCCAATCTAGTGTTTTGGTCATAGAGTCCTTTTTATCACTCATGGTACATTTTGGAGTAGTAGAAGAAAGTGAATTAACTGACTCCTGGTTCACGTCATGCTGGGAGGAGTGGAAGAGTGTGAGCTGTAGATCCCTCAGACCAGGGCTCTGGTCCCAGCCCTGTCACTTATTAGCTGTGTGAACTCAGGTACATTATTAAACTCTATGAGCCTCAGGCTCTGCATCTGTGAAGTGGCTTTGATGAGCCCTGTCTTGTAGGGGTGGTGGAATGTGGTTAATGTATGAAAAGCACCTGGCGCCGTGCCTAGAATGCATTAAAACTTTAGACAATGTCTGTTATTACTATGATTGCGACCCCACAAGATAATACCCACCTTGATGGAATTTTTCTTTACTCCAGAAGATATAAGACCACATGTGACACTCTAGGACATGGAACACCAAATCAGTCCAAAATGCTGCTTACAAAGAAACTCTAATTTTCTCCCATTAAATCTTATTTTGAATATGGGGTGTCTTTTCCAGGCGAATGGAACTCAAATCTTCTAGAATTTGGTTCAAAGACTAACTCTTTCTTCCTTCCTAGCTGTCCTTTCATTCAAACCACCTCCATCTTCATTAATTTCGTCATCACCTAAAATCTGCACCTCTCTTAGAGTTTGCAAGATTACAAGCCAAAAAACTGAATTCGAATGCCCTTTTAATGGAATGGGTTCTGGCTCCCCAACCCACAGCAAAGAGTGCCAGCCCAGTGGCTTCTGAGTTTCCAACCTCAAGAGCATCACCCTTATTTCTCAGAAAGTCCCTGGAGATAATGTGCGTAAATCACCTCATTTGTGCTCTTGTTCACCTGCACTGGGACAGGAGCACAAGACATGTTTCATTCCTGCTGCAGGCAGAGATTCTCTCGGGTTTACTCACAATCCCAAAGTAACTGTTAAGAACAGTTTTCCATTGCAGGTGAAGTCTTTCAACTCTGAGACCCACCCTCTGAGGGGCTGGCTCCTGTTCAGTGTTTTCACAGCCTCATTTAGCCCACTATTCAGCCTAACTTAAAGTTACCTCCCACTACAGGACTTTGAGTTTCCGAGTCTCCAACTGCCTTGCCTCAGGGCATTTACACTAGACTCTTCATCTGGAAGGCCCCATCCCCCTTCTTACCCTTATTTTTACTGGTCCTTTGGATCTTAGGGAATATCTCACCCCCTCCTTTATACGAGAGCTACTCTGACTCTATGGTTCTATAGGCAGGGGTTGGACCCATGTTTCTTAGCATCCCCAGTACTAGCTAGGAGCCTTCCAAAGAGCAGATGCTGAATGAACGTTTAGACTATTAAAGAGCAAATGTGCAAGAGTCAAATTTATTATGATTTCATTTCTCCTTCATTCTTGAATAAACGAAGCCAATCCGGGTACATAAACTTCCATTTCACAAAGAAAGGCTAAAAGGAGTAAAACAAACCAGGAATTGACTACTTTTTACATTTTTTTCTGTATCTCGTGATCACGCAGACTTTACTGTGGGGTAGTTTCCTTTTTCACAAAAATCCGTATTCTAATATCGTCTTATCTAGTTCTGAATGACAAAAAAAATGGTTGAAGGATTTTCAATTTGTTTTACATAATGCCAAAATTCTTATTTTCCAGCCTGATAAACTGCAGTAAATGATTGGAATTTATCAAGTTGTATGTACGTTTATCAGTATGATCCATGTCATTCATAAACTTGGATTCTGAAGCTAAATAAGCCTTTAATTGAAAGGAACAACATTTAACAATAGGAAACATAAAAAATAAATCTCCAATTTACGCATATTGTACAGGAACACAAATAAGTTATACGCTGTGTTCCCATGAGCCTCACCTTGGCCCTCCACTAGTTAGAAGATTGACTGCTTTCTTTAACCGCAAAGTGAAGACTGTGTCTCAGACGTCACTAGGGGAGGGAAGAGCTGCTGCCCACAACCCTGGAACATGCACTTGCCGTGGCAGCAGTGGCAACCCTGGCTGTGGCTCTGACTTAGGTTCTTAGGTGAATGGATGAATAAACCATGGTACATCTTGACAGTGGAATATTGCTCAGTGCTAAAAAGAAATGAGCTATCAAGCCATGCAAAGACACAGAGGAACCCTAGATGTATATTACCAAGTGAAACAAGCCAATCTGAAAAGGCCACATGCTGCATGATTACAATTATATGACATTCCGGGAAAGGCAAAACTATAAAAAAGTTAAAAGATCAGTGGTTGCCAGGAGCTAGGGGAGAGGGACGGATGAATAGGCCGAGCATGGAGGACTTTCAGGGCAGTGAAATTACTTCATATGATACCGTAATGGTAGATACAAGTCATCGTACATTTGCCAAAGCCCACAAAACGTACAACACCAAGAATGAAGCTTGATGTAACTATGGATGTTGCTTGCTAATGATGTGTGCATGTGGGTTCGTTAGATTGTAGCAAATGTACCACTCTGGTGTGGAATGTTGTTAGTAGAAGAGGCTGTGCATGTGTTGGGGAAGAGGCTATATGGGAGCTCTCTGAGCTTTCTGCTCACTTTTTCTGTGAACCTAAAACTGCTCTAAAAAATAAAGTCAATTTTAAAAAAGAGTGATGGAGGCCTCAGCCTCACACCCTGCCCCGGGGATTTAAGTCTTGAGTGCAGGGGTAGGGCCAGGCTCTGTTTTCCCCTCGATTCAGAAGTGAGTGGTCCCCTCAGTCCTCACTCAGTTTCCTTGATTTAACTCCTGGCAGAGCCTGAGGCTCCCCTCTTTCGTGAGCCTTCCTCTGAGGAAATTTCATCTTGAAAATCTTACCTATACTGACCTGATTCGGTCAACCTCAGGCCAAAGTCTTCACCTTTTTAACTTCTGTGAGGAGAAATCAGGTTCAGTCACATCCTTCCAAGGCTGTCTGGGGACTCTGAGGGCTGACAGCAGGGTGAGGAGTCTATGGGCCACACTGTTCTGAGTGGGTGCTTCCTTACTTCCTCATTCAGAGTCCTCACCTTCACATATGTCAGAGACTGGGACTCCTCACTCTACTGACGTAAGGTGATCCTCCTATGGTAGGACTCACAAGTCCCAAGAAGCCTGAAGAATAAGTGAGTGGATGGTCAGGCTGACAACTTTGCCTGGCATGCTGCTCTCCCCAGTCCTGCTATAAGGGAATCTTCATCATGGCTCCTGTTTCTTGACTAAAGGTTTCCTGGGAAAGGCCATGTCGGGGATCAAAATTGACCACCCCAAAATGTGT